AGAGAGAGAGAGAGAGAGAGAGAGAGAGAGAGAGAGAGAGAGAGAGAGAGAGAGAGAGCAGTAATCACCAGCGAGAATGTTTGCATTTGGAAGTGATGGCAGTCCCTATTCAAGCACTTGGGTATGCAAACCGTCAGAGTCATTGGCAGTCGCTATTCGAACGCTGGCTTGCACAAAGACTGCTGTCTTGATGTTTTTGCCACGCAGTGATCAGTCGATTTTTGATGCTCTGAAAATAACACTTCCATTTCCCACCTTTTGCCATTCCATCATCAAGTGTCCTGAAACATCCCCTGTTTTCCTCCTCGTGCTTGGATCCCCCCCCCAAACGCTCGTTCCCCTTCAGTGCCTCCGCCTCCGGCCTTATGTACTGCAGCCATGCCTACAGGAGTCAATGTCTTGAAATAACAATAGTAGTATGATTCCTGTACTTAAAAAGATATAACAACAACTTAAAAATCTTAATGATCTTGGAAATCTCACAGTGCAGAATTCAAAAGAGGCACCAATGAGCGAGCTAGGCTCGGTCGAATACACCCTTGAACTGTTGCAATACAGACCAAAGTTCGAATCCTAATCGACCTAGATCTATGCGAGGAAGGAGCCAGGGCCATAAGGACCTGTTTTGTTTTTAAAAAAAAGGAAGAAAAAAAAAAAGATGTATGCAAGGAAACAAATTCAAATAATTCTAAATCACCCGGGGCCGGTCAACTCGATGATGATATCACAAGACCGTCAGCCTCTTTTTTTTTTAATAAAAAAGAGGTGCGATCCCGTTTAATTGCAACTGAAATGAAAGAGATTGAAAAGCGAAATAGATAAAGGAAGAAGAAGAAGAAGAAGAAGAAGAAGAAGAATGGATATGGAAGAAGAAGAAGAAGAAGAAGAAGAAGAAGAAGAAGAAGAAGAAGAAGAGAAGAAGAAGAAGAAGGCTACTACTCCGTTTGTGTGTAAAAACCGGCCCTAGGTAATTGAGAATTGCTGTATTTGATTCATCTGCATTCGCTGGAGTTCAAACTCATTTCTGTACCTCAACTGTTCCGTGGGATACCCACTGAGCTAGACCACATGGTTATCCATCCAATTTTGCCAGTTGTCCCGACTCCCAAGGCCCAAGGGACAATCTCTTTTCTTTTTTTTTCTTTTTTATTATTATTTAAATTTAAATTTTAAACAAAAAAACCAGGTTGTTGTAGAGGTTCTGAATGTGGACATATGACAGTTCAGGGGGATATCCACTGAGCTAGGCCAGATGGTTATCCAATTTTGACAGTTGTCGCCCAAGCAGGACTTTTTTTTTTTTTTTTTTTT